GATTTGGGTTCACTCAGGTCGTGTTTGGGTGTTCTATTTGGACGAGACTCTGAGGGCGCGTGGTTGTCGCAGCAACACTACATCACACAAGTGCTACATCGGTTTGGTATGTTAAACTGCAAGCCTGTTGCGACTCCTATGTGTTCGGGAGCGCTCAAGGATATCTCTGAAGGTGGAGGGGTACATGAGGACTGTGCAACTTATCAAGAATTACTGGGATGCTTGCTATTCCTTTCCACCCGCACTCGCCCGGACATTGCTTCTGCCGTATCAATCCTTTGTCGGTACTCGTCTGCTCCGACGGAAATACCCTGGACTTGTCTCAAGAGTATTCTTCGATATCTTCAAGGGACGAAGCGTCATGCACTACGCTTACATTCAGGAAATCAAGAGAACTTGGTTGCATTTTGTGACGCGGACTGGGCTGGGGACCGCATTGACAGACGCTCAACGACAGGTGTCTTGTTTCAATTTGGTCAGAGTACAGTTGCTTGGAAGGCGCTCAAGCAAACTTCCGTGGCCCTCTCCACGACCGAGGCCGAGTTCCTGTCTTTGAGTGAAGGAACCAAGATGGTGCTTTGGTGGTGCAGCTTGCTTCGAGAGATGGAATGTACTCAGAATGGAAGTACAATTGTCAATGAGGACAATCAGGGTGCGGTAGTGTGGGCGACTGAGGGAATACGTCACGCGAAGCACATCTCAATCCGGGAGAACTTTGTCAGAGAGAACTTCCAAGACGGTATCATTCACCTGTCTTACTGCAACACCGCCGACATGACGGCGGATATCTTTACGAAGCCGCTTATTTGTATCACATTGGAGAAGCATAGAGAGCAACTCGGAGTAGTACAAGTGACAGCTCGAGGCGCAAGAGGGGGTGTTGATGTGTAATGCGCGCGCGCTCGCTGCTATACGTTGCGCTATCGTACATGAGGGGCTGAATTGTGTGTCGTAAGACCATACTGATGTGCCATATCGTGCTAGCCCCTGAATTGGTGCTTTTGAGCGGAGTGATGTGTCCGCTAAGTGACTTAATATCTAGTATTTTGATGTTGTCCTTCTTTCGTACTGTGTGTATGTGTTTCAGGATCTGCGTCTACCATGTTGTCGTCCTGCACACTGATTTGTACTTTGGATTTCGGTAGGTTTACCATTGTACTCTTTGTCTACATAAGTTCTACCTTGATCGACTCAACTAAAGTCCGGTCTACGGTGTGACCCCCCATCGACGAACTTCTCCCGACTCACTTCCATTCATTCACGCCCTGCAAAGCGGAGGCATGGAAATGATGAAGCACCCCATGCTTTACATACAAGATCCGCCCACAATCAAGAAAACGACATTATCGCAGCACCCTCAAGAGTCAGGATTCATCGCAGCGGTATTCTGGAGATCGCCCGATTGCAGGCAAAAGCATCACTACTCATATGCTAAAGGTTATAGAAGCTCAACTCTTCCGTCATTAGTGAACTGTGTGACAAACATACAACAATCCCGAAATCCCCTCTGCTGTGAACAAGGCAACAACCTTAAAGTTAGAGACATGGAAAAAGATCTCAGTGTATCTATTCTCGAGCAGTGGTGCAAACCTGCAGGTCTCTGTTATAATCCTAGAGCAGGCTCCATGTCCATGGGCTTGGCATGTTTGGACTTAGGTGTCCAATACATTGCGCTAGAACAAGACTCCGAAATTTTCAGAGCGGCGAAAAGGAGGTTAGTCGCATCCGTTCAAGAGCAAGTCTTCAAGCGAAGAAAACTGGAGCGAAGTAGTCGGGAAGGAATAAAGGAAACGGAAAAAGAAAACGAGAAAGAAGGAATGGTGCCCATGGATTCAACATGGAGATTACTCACTAATGAATGGATAGCGCTGTCTCTAAACAGTCAGGTGCGCTCTTGTGCTCACTATAATATTTGTGCGAGATAATATGTATGCAGGCACTTGGCCATCAGATGCGTCAGTTGCATGCGAGTGAAGAGTAGGTAGTTGTATTGGTGAACGGTGTGAATCAACGGTGTGTTCAGAAGAGTTGCCGACTGGCTCAAGGCGGGGGGCGAATCTCAATGTTCAGAGGCGATTGGTACAGGTGCACAGGTCCACACGTGTGAGAAAAGTGATGGCAAACGAGGCCTACCTTTTCTTCAATTTTACCACACATTTCAAAATTTCCATAAATTTGAGTTTCCATCCACTCATTCACGAAGTACAAACTTTTTTGGGCTGCCGTTCCCCTTCTCCTTCGTGCTAAGCAGAGGCCTGCGAAGTCTCTGCCATCCGACAACGTCCGTCCATCTTCCTTTACGGAACGTCGGCGTCATCACTCGATCCAATGAAGAACGCCATCTCTGCAAGGGGCATCAGTAAATATGTGAGAGATCACCACTGGGCAAAAAGGAAAGTGTCCTGGGCAGCACAGGTAAAACAAGCGGCCCCCAGTGGCAGACCGCCCACGACAGGCTGTCCGATCACATCCAGCAGCGAGACGAATAAGTAGGAGCGAGACTTGAGGCTACGAAGTGAAGAGGGCGAGAAAGAGTAGCGTGATGCAGGACAATGTATTTGAGGTGTCGGTGATGGTGGTATTGTACTGTAAGGATGTTGAGATGGGGTCGGTTGCTGGAGATGAAAGCGGGTGGTTTAGTCGAGAGAAGAGCACGAGGGGAGGGGGGCGACGGCATTCATCGACGTCATGGGTGAGATGAGATTTGATGTTGGAGAGTGTAGGTTTCAGTGATATGTAGGGTGCGCGGGGTAATGGACATGGTTATGAGTAAAGCAGATAAAGAGGTTGGTTTTTGTTTGTTCAAGTTTGGAAGGAGGGAATCAAAGAGGTGTGGCGTGTACCACTGCACTCCCCTGGGGCTCCGTGCGGTGTAGCAATGCACGCTCCGTTTCCAGTGCGGTGACACGAACGATACGTCGGTATCCGTGAAGGAGGCGGGGAACGATCGGTTACTAAAAAGAGGGTCGCTGATCTCTGGCACTCGTGTGCTTGGTGTACACGTGCTGTGTGCACACCTGCCTCCTCGCAAGAATACATTTTACGATACGATTGTAGATATATATTATCGTTGTCCGCAAAGTAAAGGCGTGGTTTTGGATGCAGAAGCCAAAACTAGTGGGTCGCAAAGTAAAGTATAAAACTGGAAATCCGAGGACGAGTTTTTCACAAGCCGTACGTAGCAGGCCTTTTCCATGTCATCATCAACCGGGAAGGTGGTACAGTACAAGCCATCCTCGGGTGACTTTTTGTACAGCTGCAACCAGTACACGGTCGGTGACGGAGTTTCTTTGTGTGCATTAGGGGCAGACGAGGAGTCGATATTTGCGTTTGAAAGGGGTTGGCGGGGTGTGTGTGACGTTGTGTGAAGAGCGTGGATGGTTGGAAGAATGGTGGTGGTGTTGTGCGGTTGGAGGTCGAAGTGCGCTACAGTACAGAGGGTGTCAAAACTGACGCAAAACTCACATGCAGCGTGTTTCGGGGGTGGTGTGAGTTTTGTAAAAGGCGTTGTTGGAAACGATTTCTGCCAGAAATTATGATCAAATTCGTAAAAACACGTGTTTTCCGACTTTGCGGACAACGTTAATGAAAAGAAAGTTTCTCGAGGTTTCTCTTACCCCTTTTCTGGTGGAATTTTTCGTACGTTCCCGAACGCTTTCCGGTACTGTAGAGGCATACAGTGTCTGGAGCTCCGCAGGTCGTAAGCGTAGCGTATTCAGCGTATTCAATTCAATGTACTGTAGCGCTCCCAAGAAAAAGGGCTTATTAAAATGGGGTACGTAAGGAAAATTCCAATATAGTAATACAATAAAACAGTCTCGCTCTAGTGTCTAGCCGACAATTTTCCTCATTTGAGATTGAGGTTCAACTTATTTTATTATTTTTATGAGGTCAAATGGCCTCATTTGAGGTCACTTGTCGGCTAGACACTAGCTGCCACCCTCCGCCTGCCATTCAGCGTCCGCTCCCCTACGGGCCGCGTGGCGGGGCGGAAGCCTTGTTGCCGGCAACGCTGGCACCAGCCTCCAGCCGGTGCCCATGCGCCCGCTGCCACAGTACAAAAGCGGACGAGTTGCGGCCCAGCCAGGGGGGAACGTTTCAAGGAGTTGGTTACAGGCCATGTGTGTCATGCCCACTGCGCACGGGGGGCCGGGCGGGGTCGCCAGCCCGGCTTCTCCGCCCGGACGCACGAATGACAGACTGCAAGTCGCATCAAGCGAGCGTCACAACGCGGCGCCCATTTTCAAATCCGCAGGGGCCCGCGCCATCACGAGATCCGGCGGCGACAACCCCCGCGTGGCGCGCGCGCCCCCCGCCCTCCCCCCGCGCTCCACGCCCGCCCCCGAGTGGAGCGCGCCGCCGAACGGCTCGCCTGATTCGTGACACCGCCCCGCGCCCACCGCAGCCACCGCAGCCACCGCAGACCCCTCCGGCCCCCGCGCCCTACGCCCCCCCACCCAGCCCCTCGCGTGCTGACGTGTACGCGCGGCGCGCTGCTTGCCGCCGCTGTA